CAATCCTGGCTCTACCACTCATGTCCTACTTTTGTCACCCTTGGCCAGCCTGACAATTTCCTCTTCTGTAAAATGGGGTAACACTAATTCCAGAGGGCCGTTGTGAGCAATAAGTGAAATGTGCATGTACGGAGAGGAGCACAAGGCCTGCCTCTTGTCAGGGCTCAGCGCCCCTCGCAGCATCTGAAAGAGCACAGGTTCAGGAGCTGTGGTTGGGAGAACACGTGCTGAGCACCAAGAAGGAATCACAGGGCATCCGGTCCCCAGCATACAGTCCCTCTGCAGCTTTCCTGTTCCTGTGGAGAATCACTGTTCACAGGCCCTGGGGTCCCAGGAGTCCCCAGCTTGCCACAAACACTACCATTGTCATAGAAACCGGACCTCCTCTTCCTCTCTCACTGATTGATTTCACCACATTGTTCCCCACACTGTGTCTGGTTCCTAGATCTCGGCTTTTGACTCACTGATTGAACAGCTTCTCATTTCATGTCCCCAGGATACCATCAACCTTGTCCCCACTTCAGGATCTGTGCCCACAGCCCCTCAGCAGGGCCCTCTTCCCCAGCGGCCTCCACTCCCTTCCCTGCCAAGTTAGTCTGGGCACCTCCTGGAAAAACGCCTGCCCGTGAGGGATGAGTGAACTTCAGCCCCGGCTGCCCCCGCGGGCCTCAGGACCCCACCTTTCCTGCCCATTTCAAATTCCGTCAGCGTGGGGTTGTAAAACCAGCGAGGGCAAGGGAGGTGGCCACGGATGGAGACTGACGGGCGCTGGCGCCACCTGCTGGCCCGGGGGTACCAGCCCCACCTCCTCCTTAAGGGTGGGCGTGTCCAGGCTAGCCCTGAGTGGCAGAAGGCCCTGGCTCTGTGTCCTGCCAGGGGAGACAGTCATTCACATCATTAGTTCATTCATTCATTCACAGATAGTTACCATCTGTGTGCTCCAAATAGCTCTTGTCCTCGCGGAACAAGCAATTAAACTGTCATGAGTGCCTCAAAAGGCGCTGCTGGGGATGCGAGGGCTGGCGGGGGCAGAGAACCAGGCACCTAACGCAGGCTGCGGTTCCCCAGAGCAAGGGGTGACTAAGCTAAGTCCTGAATAATAATCACCAACATTTATTAAGCACTTTCTGTGTACTAGACGCTATGTCAGTACTTTACATGCCTCTTGCCACTATCACATAACAATCCCATGAGGTAATTGCTACCCTTATCTTCATTTTATAGATGGGGAAAACAAATTCAGAGACAGTAAGTCATTTGCATAGAGCTCACCAGTAATAGGCCACCTGCCCACCTGTAGCCCAGGTGCGGAGGACACTACGGGCTCCCACTTGAATAGCTGGGCAGAAAGGGAGAAGAGAGTGTGTTCCAGGTGGAGGAAATTACAGGCCTGGAAATCACTGGCCCTGTGGAAACAGGGGCAGAGACGGGCAAAGGAAACTGAAAAGGAGCACCGAGGGAGGTAGGAGAAAAGCCGGGGAGGAAATAAAGGGTATAGAGAAGGAAGGAGGGGCCAGCAGGGTCAGAGGTCAGAGGTCCAGCAAGATAAAAACTGAGACTGGACTCAGCCCCTTCTCTAAGGGAGCCCATCAGTGTGGGAAGGTGGGACCCAGAAACACCGGGAGAGCAGGGTAGGTGATCCCTCTGCACAGGTCTGATGTCAGGGCTTGGACCAACCAACAGGCCTGGAGCAGTCTGGGAAGGCTGCCTGGGAGAGACATGTATAGTTACCCACCTGGAATGGGCATGGATGTGCTTCTAGAAAACTGGCAATAAGGGTATAACTGGCAGCCTGGGTATAAGTACAACTGGGAAACAGCCTGACCTCCCTCAGGCTCTGGAGAAGGGGCCTTGTGCAAGGATGTTGGAATGAGAAAGTGCCTTGAAGTCCCTCTGGCCCAAGCCACCCCATCTGTAGTCCTGAGCTGGAGGTAGCTTAAGCCTGCTGGTAAGAACCCACTGTTCACATTGAAGTCAGCCATGGTGAGAGAATTTACACCTTGGAAATTGACAACTGCCGCAAACCAGGACTTCCCCCCACCCCACCCCTGTTATTAAACATGTACAAGCACACCTCTGTTCTACCCTCTCGTGTCCCTACTTCACAGAAGAGGAAACTGAGGCCCAAAGATGGGGAGTGACTTGTTCAGTATCACACAGTAACTTTCTTCCTCTTACTCATTCAATTAATCATTCACTTAATAAATTTTTATTGAGTGCCCCCTCCGCTAGGCTTTGGCAAGACATGTCCCTTGTCCTGGGGGAGCTTGAAGTCTGGAGTAGCATACAGAACATGTACACTGGCTGTGACGGCACTGTGGGCCACGGCAGACCCAGGAGGAGCACTGAAGTCCATGAGCACGGTCAGGAAGGCCTCTCAGAGGACATGACTCCTGAGCTCAGCTCTGAAGGATGAGCGGGAGATAGACAAGATGATGGGGGAGAGAGGGTTGGAGGCAGAGAGAATAGCACCTGCAAAGGCGTAGGGGGATGAGAGGACCTGGCAGGAGCACATCAACATGATCTATGTGTACTTCTTTGCACTCTCAAGGGCCTACTGGGTCCAAGACTCCTTTTACCAGCAGTGACTGAGGGGAGGGGTTTACATGCTTAGAGATCCCTTCTGAGCCATCAGTCAGAAGTTACACCAGTGAATTAGCACCATTATGGAGTTCCTGCTGTGAATGAGTTCCGGACTAGGCGTTGTCGAGAGGAGGACTCCTGGTTCCAACCCAGTGAAGGTATATGCCAAGCATCATGCAAAAGGCACCCCTCTGGAGATCAGATGAGGGATGGCTGTGAGGGCCCAGGGGTGGGGCTTGGGAGGGGAGGGGAGAGATGCAGCTGGGTGTGGAGGGTGGGAGGTATGGTGGAAAAGCAGAGTGAGAAGTTGAATATTTGGTGGGGTGTGGGGGTCAAGGGAAGAGGCTGTTCAAGAGGGAAGTATGGATGAGCACGCACACGCAGCTTCCAAGCAGCAAACATTGAGCACCTACTGTGTGCCGGCACAGGTGCTGGGAATACAGGAGTGGACTAGAGCCAGTCCCTGTCCTCAAGGGGCTCCCAGGTACTTGGGGAGACAGAAGTGTAAACGGACAGTTACAATACAGTGTGATGAATGGTAAGAGATCTCCAAAGATGACAGGGAGAGATTTCCCAGGGAAAGTGACATGGAATTTAAGTCCCACAAGATGAACTAGCATGAGCCAGGTGAAGGGTGAGGGAACAGCAGATGGGACAGCACAGGCCAAAGCTGGATGATGGGCAGAACATGGTGTGCTCAAAGCCCTGAAAGAGGGCTCATGTAGCTGGAGTGGAGGGTGAGAGGGAGGGCAGGATCAGCTGACCGCTGGGCAAGGGCCAGAATGTGAAGGATATTCTAAATCACACTAAGGAGTTCGGCCTTGGATCTAATGACAATGGGGAGCCAATACAGTGTTTTAAGAAGGAGAGTTTCATGATCATATTTGGTTTTTAAAAATTATCTCTTGGCCACCATGTGGAGAATGGATTGGAGGGGGCAGGGGAGACAAGAATGGAGGAGAGAGACCAGCTAGAGACTATTGCAGGCAGGAGAGGATGATGGCTTAGATCAGGAGAGTAGCAGTGGAGGTGGGAAGTTGATGGATTTGAGAAATGTTTTGAGGTGTAGTTGACAGAATTGGTTGATGGACTAGATGGGAGGAAGTTAGGGAAAAGGCAGGGATGACAGATAGCTCCAGATTTCTGGCTTGAGCAACCAGGTGGAAGGTGATGTCATTTACCAGAAGCAGGGGAGGGGAGAGCCAGTTTGGACTGTTGTGGCAGAGCCAGGACTAAAAACTCAGGACTCCTGGTTCCAAGCCAGCACCTGTTTTCCCTGGGGGGACTACTGGGAAAAGGCAGGGAGAATGTGAGACAGAGGCCAGGGAACATGGGGATGGAGAAGGGCGGAAGCAAAGGGAACAAAATAATAGTAACAATTGCTAACTCAATGCCAGGCACTGTGCTTTATATATGTCCAGTTAAATTCTGACAACATGACCATTCTTTCTAAATTAACCATCTCACACCTTTCTACCCCCAAATCCTGCTTTGTTTTTCCTCACAGCGATTACCACTACCATAAATTACATGATCTACTTGTTTACTCTGTCTCCCCTCCCCCACAGAATATCAGGTCCATGAGAGTAAGGACTTTGTCATGTTCAATGATGTATCTCCAATGCCTGGAACAGTGCCTGACACAGCAAGTGTTCAATATGTGTTTATTGGATGAAAACTTTTTAACTCCTTATTAGGTAGGTTTTATTATTATTCTGCTTCAGACCCAGGTCGGTTGTACTCAAATGTCTGTTTGGTTAGCCTGGCCCCGATCAGTGTCTGCCAGGGACTCAGGAGGGCAACTGGACATTAACCAGTCTTAAGCAGCTGGAGGGGGCTCAGGATGACCTGGAGAGCTGGTCAGACCATAGGGATGCCCAGGTCACAGCCACCTGGGTTTTTGTCCTTAGTCAGGAATAGACTGGTAGTCTCCTCGTCTCCCACTTGGTGGATGCCCCTCCAGAAAAGGGAAAGGTGGAAGCTTGAGATGACACTTGAGGAGGCAGGACTGGGCGTGGATCCCTAACTGGCAGGGAAGAAACCTCTGGGTCCTAGCGTGCAAGCCCACGCTGGAGCAGCTCCCAGTAACTGGCCTGCAGCGCCACCTCGTGGCCAAAGTTCAAAGGTGCTTTTCCTCCACCTGTCCCTGGAGCTCCTCAGGATCCAGGCAAGCAGGCCACTTTCCCAACCAGCAAGCCTCCTGGGCACCTCTGACATCAATCTCCAGTCCTCTCCCTTTGCACGAACCTCACTCATCCTTCAGGGACTCCAGATCCAGGAAGCCTCTCCTGGTCCAACTTCAGTGATCACTCTCTCCTCGGCCTCCAGACTACTCACTGGGTATCACTGTTCACTTCTGGGGTCCTAGGCTCTGGAGTCAGACAGATCTGTCTTTGAACACTGGAGTGTCCATTTACCAGCTGTGTGACCTGAGCAAGTTACTTAACCTCTCTGAACCTTAGGTCCCTGAGGTTAAGCAGAGATGGCAATTCCAGCCTCACAGAGTTGTAAGAGGATTAAATGAGATCAAGTCTGTAAACACCAAGAAGAGAGCCTGGAAATAAGGAAACTCAGGAATTGGAAAGTCCCTCTTCCCACTCCTCTCTCTCTAACTTCCTCTTCCCTTTCCTGAAAAAGGAAGCATGATGGAACAGAAAGCACAAGAGAGTCATAGGACTTGAGTTCTCTGGGCCTCAATCTTCCTCTCTGTAAAACAAGGCCACTAGATAACTGGCGAATCTATTCATTCATTCATTCAGTTTCTAGTCCACCTATGACATTCTATACAGTCTTTTATATCCATTAATTCACCTGTGCCAGATTGTGTCTTATGCTTCAGTATCCCCTGTTAGTACCCAGTACAGTGCCTGGCACAGAGAGGGCACTGGAAAAATCCCTCCCCAACAACCTAGCAAGGGCATGTTTACTGCCTCCTTCTCCCTGCCCCAAGAGAACACCCAGCCCTGCCTGGCACCAGGTGCCCCTCCCCCTCCCTTGCCTCAGCCCGAAACCAGAGCTGGCGCCACTGGGTGAGGAATCTGGGGACCAACTGTCACAGCTCTGGTATCACCTGCCTCCCGGACACCTGGGTCCGGCCCTGAATCCCAGAGGGGCCCTGCCAGCCAGCTGTCCTGGGGGACCCTAGTTCTGCCCCAGCCCCTCGGAGCTGCTCTCCCTAGGGAAATCAGAGAGTGCAGGGGACCTGCTAGGGGGAGTGCTGGAGTGGTCTCAGGGGAGGAGCAGAGAGGAGTTTGTCTGTCCAGGTCCAAAGCCCTTGGAGATTGGGCCCACAACCATGGAAGGACCCAGAGAGACCGCCTCTCTTCTCCAACCTCTGTAGCCCTCCAAGTACCAAAGACTGTTTTGCCCTCACATTTAATCCTGTTTATCCATGTTCTCTGGGTCATGTAGGCTAGTTTCTGTGTCTTGCTAAGGGCAGAGATCAAGTCTGTTACTTCTTTTGTGTGTCCTAGAGAATTTTACCCAATACATTCTCACTGATTGAAATTAATAAGTTGAGGGGAATTCCCTGGTGGTCCAGTGGTTAACTCTGTGTTTTCACTGCCTCACAGCCAATGGCCTGGGTTCAATCCCTGGTCGGGGAACTAAGATCCTACAAGCCGTGTGGTGTGGCCGGAAAGAAAGAAAGAAAAGAAAGAAAGAAAGGGAGAGAGGGAGAGAAAGAAAGCAAGAAAGAAAAAGAAAGGGAGAGAGAGAGAGGGAGAGAAAGAAAGAAAGGAGGGAAGGAGGGAAGGAAGCAAGGAAGAAAGAAGGAAAGAAATTAATGAGTTGAGTGTATTCGAGCAACAGAGAGAAAACTGGCTGCACTCTCAGCAGGACGAATGGTGTTTAGATCACAAGGTAGACTTCCCATAGGGAGGGGTATTAAGAAAAGAAAACATAAACCCCATAAAGTACAGGAGAGGAGGCCTAGCTGATTAAGACAGATGGAGAAGGCATCCCGAGGAGTAGGGAGATGGATGAGATAACCTCTATAAGGGCCAGCCAGCTTGCTAGGGCAACCTTGATGGTAGCCTCCTGTGTCTGCCTCCCTCCCTGGGGGCTCTGAGAATAGGGCAGGGGAGAGGCAGGTGTTAGGTTTGTGCCCCATCCCTTGGTACGTGACAGCAATAATAGGCGCCCAGGTTTGCTGGAAGAAGAAAAGGGACACAGCTCCACACACAGATAAGCACAGTCTGGATCACCCATCCCACTCCTGTCTTTCAGCCTCCACTCGAGTTCTGGGCCATCCCACTCTCAACTGGGTCACCTTTCCTGCCTTGCAGCCAGACCTGTGTACACACACACACACACACACACAGATACACTTGCACATAGACACACACGCTCATACAGCCAACTCAACAACTCCACAGGGTCCTTTGTTCCTCAGGCCTGAGGCTGTGTGTGTGCTAGAGACATATAGAGTTCACCTGCACTCCAGTGCTCAACAGGAATTATTTTTGGATTTATCTGCTGTTTGTTTGGGATGATCTTATCTCTGCAAGTCTAGATCTAGAACTATCTTCAAACGACTCACAGTGGGTCAGGACCTCCTCCAGTGCCTGGCACATCCTAAGAGCTCAACAGGAAGTAGTTAGCTGAATGAATGAATTAAAATTAATTAATGAAGACCACAGTCTAGGTAAAGTCAATTGCCAGGGGAGAGCAACCAGGGCCCCCAAACTAACATTGATTGAACACCTTAAATGAGCCAGGCACTGTGCTAGGAACTTGGCTTATTATTTCCATTTGAGAGATGAGGAAATCGAGGCTCAGCAGTAATTGACTGCTCAAGGGGCAGAACTAACACCCAGCATGTTTGGCTCCAGAGGTCTGCTCCTTCCTCCTACATCATGAAGCTTGGAATGCGCAGTTACACTCACTACACCCTTACTGAGCTTCTGCTCTGGGCAGGGCCGTGTGCTAGGTACTGAGGGACCAGGGTAGGAGACAATGACAAAGATGAGACACACAGGGCTTCCCTGGTGGCGCAGTGGCTGGGAGTCCGCCTGCCGATGCAGGGGACATGGGTTCGAGCCCCGGTCCGGGAAGATCCCACATGCCATGGAGCGGCTTGGCCCGTGAGCCATGGCCGCTGGGCCTGCGCGTCCGGAGCCTGTGCTCTGCAACGGGAGAGGCCACAACAGTGAGGGGCCTGCATACCGCCAAAAAAAAAAAAAAGATGAGACACACAGTCCTGTCCTCCAAGGTCCTGAAGGGGAGAGATATGCCACCTACACACCTTTCTGGTCATGGGCAGAGTGAGGGCTGGGGTGGGGCGGGCATAGCTGCTACTGCCAAGCAAAATTGTTTAAGTAAGGCCTTCAGCCCTCATGGGCCTAATTCTAGAATGGGCAGGCAGGGGGAGAGAGGAAAAGGAGGGCCCCTGGACAGAAACTCAGCTTGGCCAACACAAATGTCAGTGGAGGAGGGGAGTCCCCTGAACAAAGGCGGGCACCAGCCTCTGGGAGTGAGGGAAGGACTCATCAAAACCCCTCCCGAGGGAATTCCCTGGCAGTCCAGTGGTTAGGACTCGAGCTTTCACTGCCAAGGGCATGGGTTCAATCCCTGGCCAGGGAACTAAGATCCTGCAGCCAAAAAAAAAAAAAAACCTCCTGAGAACCTGGCTCCTCAAGGTGCCCATGGCCAGGCTCCGCTGCCACTGGGCACTCTGGCAGGCCCCCCTGTGGGTGGACGTACCCCGCACAATCTGCAGGCACATGCCTCTATGTGCACGGCCAAGCCCCAGACCTAAGTGTGCTCACACACACATCCTGCCCTCCAGGTGTCAGGTTCACGTTTGCCTCTCTCACCTTGGATATTTGGAATCAGTGGGAGCCTGAGGGTGGACCCATGGTACATGAACACACCCAGGGGGGCTGATTAGTCCTTGTTGGATCAGTGAGCGGGGGTCCAGCAGGGACTGCCCCTTCCCCTACCCTGCCCCTTAGTCTGTCCCTTCCCATTCAGCAGCTGTCCCCTCCCCACTCACACACACTTGTTTCTGTCCTTTGTTTTCCTCCCTGGCCAAACCCCCAAGGCTTCTTTGGTCCTTAAACTCCTGCTTTAATTAGCTTAGTGGGGAGGAAAGTGGAAGCAGGGCAAGTTCAGGGGTGGGTGTCTAGGGGGAATCTCATTTCAGAGGGGACAGGAAGGCTCAGACCGGCTGGTGACAAAAAGGCCTGGCACACAATCAGTCCTATGCAACTGTTTGCGATTTCTGTTCATGTGAAAAACAGTCACCTGGTCCACAGAGTAGGAGGCTTTCCCCATAGCCCCTGGTTCCCCCAATCCAAGTTCCTGGGGCAGAAGGAGAGGGGACATGAGCAGGAAACAGCCACTCCCACAGGGCCGTGTCTCTCCAATTCTTCCTCGCCCACTATTGCTTAGAGGCGGGAGCGCCCAATCCAAGAAGGTCTGTTGTTAACTTTATGTAAAATCCTCGATCCAGAGGGCACCCCTCTCCAATTCCGGGGGCTTCCGGGGTTTCTCAGTCATGGCTCCCCTTCCCTGCATCTTCTGCCGGGCAAAGAAGCAAGAGCCCTGCAGTGTGCCAACCCCCAACCCCTCCTGAGACCCTCCACGCTGGCTCCCACCCTCCCATTGGTGTGCAAATTTACTCTCTCCAAGAATCAATTTAGGGAACTGGGCTTGCAGCTCAGCCCTCACGGCCTCACAGTGCCTGGTCTATGAGGTCATCTCCTCTGTTCCCCTGCCTCCAAGCAGGACTTTACCTCACAAACTAGTTCAGATTTTTGGTTTCCAAGGCACTCCAGAAAAGGACACCTCACCACTGTAGCTCACCCACCCATTCTTATAAAACTCTTTTGGGAAGTTCTTTAAAGTCTGACCTCAAGCCCTCAAGCTGCAGTGCCATCCCTTCTCCTACTGGGAAAGACCTAGGCATAAAAAGGGTAACAAAAGAAATGTTGAAGCTATGGGGTAAGGGGAGAAAAGATTGCATTACACTCCAACTTCCACAAACTCCCCTAAAAGTGCCCAACTGTCCAATTCATGCCTTAAAAACTGATTTTTACTTTCACCAAATCTTCAGAGTCAAAGGAGCTGAATTAATGGATTTTCACTGGGGGAGAGGTGGGATGATGGTGAAGGCTAAATAACAGATCACCCGCAAGCTACATATATGGCCCAGGCCTGAAGAAGTCTGGGTTTCCATTCCATCCAGACTCTCTTTCCTCCTTCTGTCGCACCCAAAGCTCCTGGCTCTCACCCGAAACTGTTAAGTCACATCATGCCTTTAAGACTTCCCTTGCCTCCTCACTCTCTGTCCCCCCACTTCTCTCCTCTCCCTCCACCCCTTCATCCTCCTCACTTCATCTCGCCACAGCCCTCCCAGCTCCCCTCTACTGATCAGAAGGATGTTAACTAACTCACCTCCCAGTCGGTGCCTCTCAGATCTCCGAGACTGGGGGAGCGGGAGAGGACGAGGGGGGATGGCTTGCCACTTGGAGATGAGGGGACCCCGTCTTTTACCAAGGGGTCCCACCCTCCAACCCGGCACCCCATCCCGGACCCCCCAGCGCGCCCAGCCGTGTTCTCCCCGCATCGCGGCTGCGGGCTTTGTCTGCTCTGCGGAGAACCTCTCCCCGCGGCCCAGAGCCGGGATCGACTCTGGGAGAGCGGGAGGGGGGAGCTGAGAGCGGAGAGGGAGCGCGGCAGGGAGGGGGAAGAGGGGAGAGAGAGCGAGAGCGAGAGAGAGCGAGCGACAGAAAGCCGCAGTGACCCAGCCGGGACCGCTCCCCGCCCTCTCGCCCCCCCCTCATTACCATAAGAAAGAGGGACCAAAGACCTGCCCGGATCGGGAAGGAGCCCGCCTTGGGAGGGGGGCACATTCCATTAGCCTTTTTTCAACACGTTCCGTTTCTGTACACTGACTCCTCTCCCGGTACCCGCCTCATGGAAAAATGAGGGACCTTGGCTTCCATCCCACCCCCAGCTTCGCCTCCCAGCCGCGAGTAAAGACCGAAGGCACATCCATATCCTCCTCGGGTCAAGGAATTCGTCCCCGCGCCCCCGAGGGCGGGAAACTACAACTCCCGGCATGCCCCGGGCGCCCCCGGCGCGCCCCCCTCCCGTCAGTTCCATGCTGCTCCATCCAGTTCATTTAAAACAAAAGAGTTTGAGCGCTGGAAGGGGCTGGGCTCTATTGGGGGCCACTGAGCGCCGCTCCTGGACTGGGGCTCGGTGCGGGAGCCTAAGGGGGGCATCTGGACGGTGGGGTCTAGAGACTCCCGGGACCGAGGCGGGAGGGGTGGGGGCAGAAATCCCGCAGCCCCCCGCCCCCCGTCACCCGCGGAGAGGAGAGGAGATCTTTCTTGGCTTTGCTTCTTTTTCCCCCCACCCCCACCCTGGGGGCTGGGGCGAGGGGAGTCGGGTTACAGGGTGTTTGGGGAGGGGGGCTTAGGGGGAGGGTCTATCTTTCTATCTCGCTTTCTTCCCCCCTCCCCAGTTCTTTGTTCCCCCCTCCCCACACCCCCCCCTCCTCTCCTCTCCC